TGGCAGCTCCAGTCAACTTCGTTATCCGAGTCCAGTTCCCCATTCCTCTATTTATAGTGCTGTGTGACAGGGGCCCACCAACCATATTAGAGTTGGGCGCCCCCGATTAGGGCGCAGATCTAAGGGCTCAATAGGACGTTGGGCCTATTGATGGAGATCAACTAATATTCTCCCCCTTGATCTCATTACTATTTTTCAATTTCATATCATTTACTTTTATTCATTCCATTACAGATTAGCGCATGGAGCATATCTCATCGTCACGGTCCATTGGCGATAGATTTAACAGCTACAACACACTGCTCTGTTCTGAAATAGATAATTATCTTTGAGCCTTCTTTTGTCCAAGAATTTTAGGCTTTCCCTTAAACCCATGCTAGATACACGTTGGGTGGTAAGCCTTTTATAAGCGGCTCCGCGAGCATCTTTTCTGTACTTATATGCTCAAGACTTTATGACATGACCCCGAACTTTATCTTTCACAACAATATACTTTATGTCAATGTATTTGGCAGCATCACTTGACTTATTGTTGTGAGCATGCTGTACTGCCTGATTATTATCGTAGTATAACTTTAGTGGTCTATAGATGTCGTCAACCACCTTCAAAAACAGATTGAAGCTTGTTTTAATCCATAAATGGATTTCTTTAGGCGTCATCCCATTTGTTCTTTTCCTTCCATGACAAAACCCTTCGATTGTGCCATATAAACATTTTCCTCCAAGTCCCCGTTCAGAAATGTCGTCTTTACATCCATCTGATATAATTCTAAATCTTAATGTGCCACTAATGTCATTATGATTCTGAAGGATTCCTTACATGAGACTGGAGAAAATGTCTCATTGTAATCAATTCCTTCTCTTTGCGTAAAGTCTTTTGCCACAAGTTGCACTTTATATCTCTCTTATTCCCTTGGGAGTCAAGTTTTATTTTGTAGACCCATTTACGACCTACTATTTTGGCTCCTTTAGGAATTATCTTCAAGTCCCAAACTTTATTGGCATTCATAGATTTCATTTCATCTTCCATGGCCTCAAGCCACTTTGATGAATGATCATTTTTCATGGCTTATTCAAATAAGGTGGGATCATCCTCCATTTGAAATTCTTCAGTATTGTATACTTCATTATCAGCAGGAATAGCTGATTTTCTACTTATTTGAGACCTTCTAGGGGCCTCCACATTTGGCACATCTTCTGTTTGAGGCTGTTGTTGCTCCTCCTCATGTGTGGCAATAGGTTCTATAGGATTCTAAAGAACAGGTTCCTTATCATCATTCATTGTTGCCACAGGCGGAATAACAACAGGTGCTGGCACCACAGTATCTGACACTATCGGTGCAGCGATAGCAAGTAGTGAGAAAAATAGCTCATGAATCATTGGAGTGGACGCATACACCCGTTTCTATTCAAGGTCAATTTCTCGAGCTACCCTGCTCCCCCTCATCAATTCATCCTATAGGAAGACAGCGTGTCTCGTTTCCATAAACTTTGTATGTCTCTCTAGATAGTAGAAACGAAAACCTTTTGACTTTTCTGGGTAGCTAATGAAATGGCAACTCACTGTTTTGGGATCTAACTTCCCAATGTTTGAGTTAAATACTTTAGCCTCAGCAGGACTCCCCCACACACGTAAGTGGTTTAGTGAAGGTACTCTTCCTATCCACAATTCATACGGTGTTTTGAGCACCGACTTACCTGGTACTCTATTGAGAATATAAATGGCGGTTTTTAACGCCTCCATCCACAGACTCAACTGTAAGGTGGAGTAACTTATCATATTACGCACCATATCTATCAGGGTACGATTGCGTCTTTCAGCTACTCCATTCTGCTGAGGTTCGCCCGGTGTAGTATCCTGGGCTATTTTGCCATTCTCCTGTAAGAACCTTGCAAAAGGTCCAAGAATATGGCCATATGGGGTATGCCGACCATAGTACTCCCCCACGGTCGGACCTGACTTTCTTAATCTTTAAATTGCGTTGAATTTCAACTTTTGCCTTAAATATCTATATTTATCCAATGCTTCTGTTCTTTCTTTGATTGGATAAATGTAGATATAACGGAAGTAATCATCTATGAATGTTATGAACGAATCATAACCATCCACATTCTTTACAGGAAACTAACCACAGATGTCTGTGTGAATAATCTGTAAAATTCATGCGCTTCGTTTAGCATCTTTCTCAATTTTCTTTATATACTTTTCTTTTATGCATTCTCTGCATTGTTCTAAATCTGAGAGCTCTAATAGAGGAAGAATATCATTCTTAACTAGTCTTTCTATTCTCCCCCTCGAAATATGGCCTGAATGACAGTGCCATAATTTCGACGACGCATCGTGAGCTCTCTTATGCCACCATTTCCAGAGTAACTCTCTGTCACCAGCTGCTTTATCAGCTGGGTAGCATATGTCTTTAAAAAGCCAGAGAATTGACTATTTATTCTATCGAGGTACTCAGTGATTGTGTCACACTCTAGGATTGAGCCTACAATTGCAGGCTCAATCGTGTTCTTTATCACAGCCAAATATTTCTTGTTGACAGTGACCCACTTTCTATGTTCAAGGGCATAAGACATCTCTCAGGATTCAAAATCCATCTCTTTAGTTGTCCAAGCGGCATCAGCCTCGTTTGTCTCCCTCACCGGTGCCACAGGATCAGTGGGACACGGTGAGGTGACTACCCAGTCCAACTCAAACAAGATGAAGGCCAGATCAAACTTTTTCTTAACACATAAATAATACCATTTGCATGCCTTGATTCCAACATTGGTCAAAATCAAAACATACTATTGTTCTTATACACTAATTCTACATCACCGTTGAGTAGAAATAGAATTAATGTATAAAATCTTTAAAATTTACAAGTGTTCTTACACACTAATTCAACATCACCGTTGGACAGAAATAGAATTAATGCATAAAATCATTAAATTACGATATTGTTATTAACAACGTTGGTCAGAAAATAACAACATCATAATCATGTCAAAATCTTTTTTTCTCCAATTAAATCATTCTCTTTAGTTCATAATAACTGGAGAATAAATAATTTCTTTAGCAGCGAAAAAACTCTCTTTTTCTCCAATTAAATATCACGTTGGTTCAAAATAACTGGAGAATTAACAATTTCTTTAGTAGCGAAAAAATAATTCAATTCAATGAATTTTGCCCACGGGACAAATCTCTTTTCTATTTTCTTTAAGCAATTAATCAATTTCCAGGAAATAAACATTTCTAGAAAAAGAAAAAAAAAGGAAAACTTATTTATTTCTGTCACTGTTTTCGGCCCAACCGGCAAAGCGGCCCACGACAAAAATTACTTTTCTATTTTCTTTGAGCTATTCTTCATTTTCCAGAAATAAGCAATTACTGGAAAATAAAAAAGGAAAAACTGATCTTGGGCCAAAACTGGCACAGTAGCCCGGCCCAGCTGTGGCCTAAGGCTAGCCCGTCTCTCTCACGCGCAAGCGCTGCCTTACCAGGCCGCAACGTGGGCCTGGGCCGGCAAAGCGCCGCGGCGCGCTCGCCCGCCTAGGCCGCATCGCTGGTCGTGTATCTGGCGCCGTTGGATCCGATTGGACGGCTGCGCGGCGTCTTCGGGCGAACAAAACCGCCCCCGGCCGTGTCGGTCGAAACCCTAACGGCCATTCCTTTCTCCTCTGCCTTGCTCTCTCTCGCGCCGCGTCGGCGTCAGCGGCGACGACCAAGGTGGCCGTCGGCGTCGTGAGAAGAAGGCAGCCACCAGAGCATGTCCAGCCGCTCCCCTTCCTCCTCTTCCTTTCTTTTCGCCACGCTCCTTCCTTCTCAGCGCAGCAAGCGGCAACCGAGAGCGAGCAGAGAGAGCCTGGCGCTCGCCCGTGCATGCATGCGCGCTCCCAACAGGGGTGAGCGCGCCGCCGAAAGCGACTGGCATGGCGCCCCTGCGTGGCGTGAGTCCGACGAGCAGCTCCCCCGGGCTCGGCCTCCTTCTCCCCGCGCGCCGGTCTGGATCATAAAGTACCTCTGTTAAGTAGATCAGGGGTAAGCCTCTTGCACGCCGGTGTTGAGGGAGTTCGGCGCGGTGGAGTCCGTAGTTGTGGCGAGGTCCAGTGGCGACGGCGGAGTCGGTGAGTTTCCCGTCGCTGACAGCACTCGGTTTAGATCGGGTTAGGTTTACTGTGGGTGGGATTATGACGGCTCCGGTCAACTTTCGTTATCCGAGCCCGGTTCTCCACTCCTCTATTTATAGTGCTGTGCAACAGGGGCCCACCAACCATATTAGGGTTGGGCGCTCCCGATCAGAACAGAGATCCAAAGGTCCAATAGGCCGTGGTGGAGATAAAGTAACAGGCTTGTGAAAGGATCAGCGCACTCCACTCAAAAAAGTGAATCTGTGATACAGGTATGGACACACTAAACTATATATCATGCATGCGATGCATGGTGCTTTTAATTAGCTTGCTTGATCACGATCTTGATCGCTACGTTTGTATCTTCCTGTGACAGTATGCATGCTCGCTCACAGTTCATATATAATTCTAGCCTCCATATACTATACACTATAGTAAATTGTAATCCTTGTGCATGTGCAGCAGCTGATTATATCTACTAAATCCGTTCCAAATTATAATTTATTTGACTTTTTTGACCTTAAGTTTGACCACTCGTCTTATTCAAAAATTTGTATATTGTTGTGGCTTGCTTTATTAACAAAAGTTCTTCAAGAATGACTTAAATTTGACTATATTTGCATAATTTTTTTGAATAAAACAAGTGGTCAAATTTGGGGTCAAAAAAAGTTAAACTAAAACCCTGTTCGCTTTAGCTACTTTTCAGCCATAGGACAATATTTTCTTCTCACAATATTTCAGCATAAGTATAAGTATAAGTCAAATTTCAGCATATAGGCGAACAGGGTGCCACCAAATTTCAGCATAATTTGAAACGGAGGGAGTAGTTATTAACAAGAGACCACTCTTTCTAGTCTTCTAGTTAATTATCCTCAAATAGATCAACCTTACACCATCCCACCGGTGCCGCCACCGCCATTTTTCTGGAGAGACGATGAGAGCTCAAACTCCTTGTCATGGTCACCACCACCATTGTCATCATCTGCCACCTCCAGCGGCTTCATGGTGTAGAAGTAGAAGCAGACGAGGTAGTAGCCGAAGTTGAGCACCACGAGGCAGGTGACGAGCCAGTAATACTTGTCGAGCCTGCCCCGGTTGATGTTGTCCTGGAGCCACTCGCCGCGCCCGCGCGTGGCGCGCTGCACCGCCGTGACGAGCACCGTGCCCATGTAGCTCCCGATGGAGCCCGCGAGCCAGAAGAGCGCGACGGCGCTGCTGCGCATGCTCTCGGGCGCCTGGTCGTACAGGAACTCCATGTGCCCCACCGACGAGAAGGCGTCGCCGACGCCGTGGACGGCGAACTGCGGCACCAGCCAGAACACGCTGATGGGCACGACGGCGGCGGGGCTGTCCAGGAGCCCGTGCCGCGCCGCGGCGTCACGGCGCTTGGTCTCCACGAGCGCGGCCGACGCGACGCTGAGCACGGAGATGGCCAGCCCGATGCCCATACGCTGGAAGTAGGTGATCCCCGACGGTAGGCCCGTGACGCGGCGCGCCAGCGGCACGAAGACGCGGTCGTAGAAGGCCAGGGTGACGAGCATGGCGGCCGTCGAGAAGATGGTCAGCGTCGCCGGCGGGATCTGGAAGTGGCCGGGCCCCAGGTGCCGGTCCATGGTCCGCGCCTGCATGATGGTGAAGGTGTAGTTGTGCGAGCCGGCGGTGGCCAGCATGATGCCCGCCGACCAGATGGGCAGCAGGCGGACGATGGACTTGAGCTCCTCCACGCGGTGCACCGTCGACAGACGCCACGGGTCTGGTTGCCCGGACGGGGTGATGTCGCCCGGCGTCACTATTGCTGCCCGGTCGAAGAACCTTAATTAATCAACAGAGAAAAAAAAAATCAATAGTGAGCACTGAGCAGTGAACAGGAATCTAGAGTACAATCAAAGGAATGCGAAAAGGAGGTAATTTTATTTTAAAGCAGTGAGCGATGTTGCTTTAAGCTAGCGGGGTTGCATTTTCCCTTTCTGTGCACTGATAATGTAACCACCACAAAAAGTTGCCCACAGGTCTATCACCGTTCAGGCACGCAGGCGCCATTGTAAGACACATCACGTGCACGCTATCTTACGGTTAGGTTACGGGTCTTTTACTGACAAGACTTGTCGAGGAACTCAAGGATCTTTTTTTACTACAACTACAAGAGAGTCGATTTTTTTTACTGACAAGGATCTTTTTTCGTGCACGCTATCTTACGGTTAGGTTACGGTGGCATACTGGCATATGCTTTGGTGGCCCTGGGGAGTGTATGTCCGGGGCCGTCTAATATTGGACAACTACTTTCGTTTTTTACAAGAGACCGGAAAACAAATGGAGACTTACGTGAGCTGGTTGGTGTGCAGGAGCCTGCCGTTGGTGGAGATGAGCGCGTCGAGCTCCTTGTCCTTGTACAGCAAGCCGGGGTCCTCGGGCACGGCGGCGTGGCGCTTCTTGAACGCGGCGGCAACGACCTGCACGAGCCGCGTGAACGGGCTGCCGCCGGGCCTGAGCAGCACGTAGAGCGGGTAGCCGACCAGGAACACGACGATGGAGATGAACATGCCGATGGCCGGGATGCCGAACCCCCACCCCCACCCGACGTTCTCCTGGATGTACACCACCACCGTGAGCGCCAGCAGCACGGCGAACCCCATGGTGAAGAAGTAGAGGTTGAAGTAGCGCCGCTTCCGCTCCGCCTCCGCCTTGGCCGCCTCGGCGGCGCTGCTGTCCTGCTGCTGCTTCTGCTGCTCGAACTGGTCGGCGCCGAACGCCACGACGCACGGCCGGATCCCGCCGGAGCCCAGCGACGTGCACAGCAGAGACAGGTATAGCAAGGCGAGCTGCCACCCGGAGGCGTGTTGGCACGGGGTGGCCGGTGGTTTGCACGGGGCGGGCGGAGCGAAGGGAGGAGCGCGGACACGACGACGCCGATCATGCCGATCTGGTAGACTACGGAGCCCGCGATGATGGTCCAGAAGCGCCCGGCGAAGGAGTCGGCGGCGAACGCGCCTAGGATGGGCGTGAAGGCGGACGTGCCGCTGAAGTTGGTGAGGAGGTTGGACGCCTCCACCATGGGGAGGTGCAGCTGCTGCGTCAGGTACGTGATCAGGTTGGCGTTGAAGCCGGCCGTGGCAAACCGGTCGCAGACTTCGCTTGCTGCAATGCGATGGACAAAGCCATGAGACTGTCGTCAGAACATCTATCACCAAGCCAAGAACTGCACTTGCAACCCAAGTGTTCGTTGCATCGTCATCATCTGTCTTAGCTTTCTTGGTTTGTTCACCAATTAATTTCTTATTACCAAATTTACCGTATACGTCATTCAGTCTACGTTTACAGTTTGACAGTAGAATTAGACGAGGACATAATAATAAAAGAAAAATGCACGGAACAATTAATAAACAAAAAATAAAACAAGAAGACAAACATATTGGCAGCGGAAAGACCGCGGATCTAGATTTCCAAGAACAGGAAGGCGTACGTTTTCTTGCAACGGAATCATATTAATTTGCGAACCCGGTTAAGTAGAGGCGTAGAGCTCTACATCTTTGGACTGAAACACCGACCAAAATGTAAACAATAAACAACCGTGCTTAACTTGTGCAAACTCCACAGATTGGTGTAAACAACTGCAACATAAGCCGATGCAGGCATATCGATTTCCTCACCTAGTATGAGCGGCATGGTCCTGAAGCCTCCCTTCTTCCTCCTACCTTGCTCTCCATCTGCATTCCTGTCCATTGTTGCCGTTGTGGTCCCTATCATGGCAAGCTGCAGAGAGCAAGAGAACTCGCTGGTTCCTGTGGTGAGTGAGTGAGTGAGGCGTTGCTGATGCTCAATCAGAGCAAGGCCTTGGGGGAACGACTGCGACCTTCACATGCCCCTGCATTTGACGCGAGAATGGAGCCAAATATATATAGACACGCCGAGACAAACACCTCAGCGGCGCCCGAGGGGCAAGCCAAACCTGCTAAGCTAGTTCAGACCACAAGTGTGACGGCAACTTTTTCTTTTTCTTTTTTGAGGAACTTAGTGCATCATGATTGGTTATACTTATATTAGCTTTATATTTGCACCTAGGTCTTGTTTAGATTGAAAAAAATTTCAACCCGATGAATAGTAGCACTTTCGTCTTATTTGGTAAATATTGTCCAATCGTGGACCAACTAAGCTCAAAAGATTCATCTTGTGATTTTCAACTAAACTGTGCAATTAGTTTTTTTTTTTACCTACATTTAATGCTCCATGCAAACGGCTAAAAATTGATGTGATGGAGAGAGAGTGAAAAAACTTGAAATTTTGAGTGTATCTAAACAAGGCCCTAGGATTATTTAGGAATTTTACTTTGTGGCCAGTTAATGTTGGCACACCCAGGTCCATTTTTCCTTTTCTTTTTTTTTTTGGTCATTATAATGGGAGGATACAACCATGAACCACTAAACGCCCTGCATTGTTAGGGATTAGCTAGTCCTCCCAAGTTTACAGTTATTCCCCTCAGTCATAAACTATTGTCGTTTTAAGCTATATGATAAGCAAAAGTTTAAACTTTGAACATCAATATCTATTTAAATATTCAAATGAGGCTTTTTCAAAATTGTAAGTCTATAATAGTTTCTTAATTTTATAATGCTATATATATTTCCATAAATTGCATAATGCTCCATCAGTTCTAAATTATAAGATGTTTTAACTTTTCTAGATATATTACTTTTACTATGTATCTAGACATATAGTGTATATCTAAGTGCACTGCAAAAACCATGGATCAAGAAAATTCAAAACATCTTATAATTTAGACTTGATGGAGTAGTAAGCAATGGTCAAACCAATGTCTTGGTGACAAGAATGGTAGTCATCTGTGACTAGAGGGAGTACTATCCAGAGACTCATGTTAGAGAGTTTATGTTAATTTTCATAAACTTGACTGGGTTAACAAGGCCTTGAATGGCTCCACAATAGCAAAAACGGGTAGAATAGGTTACGCTTACGCGCATGCATGTGCAGTAGGGCGATTTCTGCAACCAAGTGGACTGCTGGATGTGTCATTTGCAGCAAAGAAGATTTATTGGAGTGGCATCACAGAATACAAGTAACCTATCGGTGGTTTCACATCTTTTTCTCAGCGGATTTTAGCCCAGGGGCGTTACTATCTTATTATCTTGGCCGAGTTCTTTCGGCGCCCTGCAATTAGGAACAGAGCTTCCAGAATGCTCTCGATATGCCAGTGCATGTGGCTTTTTTAAAGGTGTGCCTTTCTTCAAATCATCTCCAAAGTTATGCCCAATATGGTGCACAGAAAAGCAAGCAACGCATGGTTTCTTCGCGGTGTGCTAGATCGGGTTAGACCAAGGTTTTGCCACTTGTCTCTGCTACCCTCTAATCGCGGTCAATTTTATTGTTTACCTGTACATCGTAAAGTAAAAGTAGGTCAGACAATCAGAATCGAGCCAGGAGCCCAGGACAAGCCAATCCAACTCGGCCGGCCCTGAAGCTGCATGGTCATGGAGCCACTCAACCTGGGTTCCGAAGCATGCTCCCCCACTGCTACGTCTTCATTCCTCCCATCGCTGTCGTCCGCTCCGTCTCCACGTCGGCCGGACAGCCGATGGCGCCAGGCCGCCAGCAGGTTCCCTTTTCCAGGCATCGCTGAGCTGACACCGCCCGAAAGCGCCGCCCTGCCATCCCGTCCTGAGGCTCCCGCGGAGGCGAAGGCAAGAAGCGCGTACAGACTACAGAGACAGGCACCAAACCGTAACATGCCCAATTGCCCATCAGCTGCTCTAGGAAAACGAAGCGAATTGGACGTTTGCAATCTGCGTGGAGGCCGTGCCACGGCGAAGGGTGGTGCCTGGTGGCGCGTGCGTGCGTTCGGCACTGGCCAGGCTGTGTGAACCGTGAACCGGACTGCAGGCGGACACAACAGCTCATAGCTAAGCTATGGTTACTATCACTGTGCTGTGCACAGCAGCACATGCGTGATGGTATCTTAGGTCCGATCGGGTCCAAATGATTGGTGTCGTGCCTACTTCGTTAAGATGTTTGGGATTATCGCCCGTTTGGTTCCACCCTGTCACATCGGATGTTGAACATTAATTTAGAGTATTAAATATATATTAATTATAAACTAATTACACAGATAGAGACTAATTTACGAGACGAATCTATTAAATATATTAGTTTATGATTTGACAATGTAGTGCTACATGCTGGGTTGACAATTATTTCCCGTCTAAAAAATATCATGTGGGAGCGAAACACCTATTTGCATTCAGTAACTGGTTCTGCACTTTAGTACACAACACAGGTCATTAAAACTATTGGCTGAAATCCCAACGTGGGGAACCAAAAAGTCTCTCTCAATTTGAGTAAAAAAAAGCAACACATCATCGTCACAATTGAGTCTGATGCTAAATCGCGCTTTCGTCAGCTACCATACACGAAAACCATGCCATGGAAACACCTCGAACTCTCAACGAACGGCAAAAGTATAGCTGTCCGTTTTTTAGTCAACATCAAGGAGCACTCCACCTAAATATATTTTCTACGGATTTCGACGAGCCGGTAATGAAGGGTGTAAAACACCTATTATAGGGATCATCCTTGAAAGTCACAAAAGTACATGGAAGGTGTAAAGCATCTATTACAAGGACAACCCATGAAGCTCACACAACTACATGACAATATGACATAGAGGAAAAGAGAATGGAATACAACACCAATAAAAATAAAACAAACAACAACGACAGTGTTTAGCTATAGGCTCACAGCCTACATCCGGAGCTAGTGCGAGGACCACGTTCCCGACCTTTGCCACCACCAAAGACAGACTCTAAAGATCTCAAATCCACAAATCAGACAGACGACGGCCAGGAAGCTGTAAGGCATCGAGTAAGAACAAACCGACGAGAAGCGTGAGCTGCATCTCATATGAGAGCATCTAGGTTCCGGTCGACGCCGACCAACACCATTTAAGGAAAGGAAGCCTCAAAGGGGAGTACCATCAGGAGGAGAACGAGGAGATATGATGAGATGAAGCACTTAAAATGAACTAGAGGACGGCAGAGCAAGCCGTTGACGGCGAGCACCTAACAGCGTGTAGTGTGCACAAAGGCCAAGGGGTAGAAACGTAATCAGACCAAAAATAAGATGGGCAGGGAGAACAACCAGAGAGAGCACAAAGATATGCCAGTCACGGCGGGAGCTGGTCTGGAGCAATCAGGGAGAGCGACACGCTGGACGCAGACATGAGCATGTGTGCTTGTATCGATGCTTTCAAGAAGAGAAGTAACGTCCACGGACCCACCATCGATGATCGGAGCACCAGGCTCGTAAGGGCTTTTGCCCTAAGACCTGCCCAGCTGATGCAGCAATCTCAGAAATGCTTCCACGATGGCAGAAATTGAAATCTACGACGACACCGGGATATGACGCCATTTTGAGCCATCGTCGCTGGCCTGGAGCCGCAGCCATGCACAGTTTTTACCCAGATTCCATATGCCTCGGAAAGCCCACCCAGAGCGCAGCACGGCAAACCGAACTTGTCGAGCACGAGCAGTAGGCGGAGGGGACCGGCGATGTCCCATCGCGACCACGGCCAGCAGGGGCCGTGGAGGCGAGCGCGCAGGCGCCTGGCCACCCGAGCTGCGAGTGCAGGTGAGCAGCCCGGCAACCGCAGGTCATAGGCGCTGCCATCACGGCCACCGTAGGGCGCTGCCTGGCCTTGCTAATGTGTATGGCCGTCCGTTACTCAATTAGAATCTAATTCCCCAATTGTCTTCGTCCTGCTAATGTGTAAATAAATTAAGACAAGGGACAAGGGATCCCGGTTACGAGGTGCCAACTGCAGGATAGAGTTCAAAAGATACTCCTTCCAAAGAATTTTGTGTGACTAACAACAGTAAGCTGCAGATTGTTTATTGGCGCCTGTGGCATATGGCTACCACTGGTAAGTTCTTTTGGTCCTTCAACGAAAAGATCAAAAAAGAATGATTGGATTTGCATATGTGAACAAGAGCAGTAATCATCGCAGTATGACAAGATTGACCAAACTCACCAGTATCACGAGCAAAAGATAAGGATCAATGGAGTCCAGAGGCTCTGAATCTGATACCAACTCTGAATCTAATAGCTCCGAGATCATGAGACGTCTGAACCTCCAGTTCCGATTAAACTTCTATTTGCTCGATCAGTAGCTACTACTACTGGCAGTGGCGGATCTAGGTAGGATGCCGGTTAAGGCACGCTGTCTGTACCCGCCCCTACTACTGGTTCCTTTCGCCATCACTCCCATCATCCAGTGTTCATCGGCTCGGATTTTACGATCACACGACGCTCGACAAACCAGTCCTGGTTGTGGAAACAGAACTGAACTGTCGTTTCTACGTTTCAGTCACACACCACCAAGTGGAATAGAAGCTTTGAGACTGTACCAGCGATCTGTTGATTTCCTTTCTTGGAAGCGAGCAGCGAACGCTTGGAGGGATTCCGAAGAATTCGGTGCGCATGCGTAATTCTTCTCACATCTTGTATGTCGATCTAGTCCTAAGTGCAGCGATTTTGTGTTGTGTCGATCGAGCTCAACTTGCCAAGAGGCAAGAGGCACCCGTATAGGTTTGGTTTGTTGCCCATACAGCATGGATCGGCTTTGCTAGCCAAGCGGCCATTCAGGTTAGGCAGGTCGGCCGGTCGACCCACACGGTCGTCAGATAATGAGATAACCGGACCTTTGTCTGGTCCGACCGTCCTACCAGGCTTGTTTTTTCATA